TTAATTTTGCAGTGTACTGTGTTTGCTGGTGCTATTTTTTTTATAACGAAGTGGCAGCCTTGCAGGGAAATAAGAAAGTTTAGTACTAAAACATTTAGCTTTTTTATTAAAAAATTAACAAGTAGATAACATGGAGTTAAAGAGTAAAGCCCACTGATGGTGGGTGGGGCATGTCAAAGGAGCACAAGAGCCAAACTGAAGGAGCTCTACTGGCCAGGGTGCAGTAGTTTTAACAACAAAGTAGTATTGAGATTATGACCCAAAGTATGATATTTATGAGTCCATACTGATAGAAATAAAGTGATTGAATAAATAAACAGATGGTGCAGAAGCATCAGATCTCCTATACGGAAGAATTCCAAATAGTTTATGTGGATGCCCCACCCTGCAGGAGGAGATGGAGCGTAACTCCCACTCCTTACATGTAGGCTACACACAGTGACTTCCTTCCAAAGAGCATAGTGTGAAAGGGGGAGAAAAAAGTAACTGCAGTGAAGACACTTGACAAATACTACCTCAGCTAGGTGACGAGGTGAACATGAACAGTCCTAAATCATGTTGATAGGATGCACCTTTGATAGGGTGCAATGAAAATGGCACTCCCGACTGTGATCTTCCTCCGCCAAAACCACAGTCTCTGTCTAACCATGAAGAAAACATCAAATTCCAGTAGATGGGCATCTTTCGATAAATGATCAGTACCCATGCAAACTTTCAGGGTCATCAAAAGGAAAACTAAGTTCAAGAAATTGTAACACTCAAGGGGAGCCCACAGAAATGTCCCAAGAACAGAAAGGGAAGAGTGAAAGAAATCTGGTATGAATTTTGGAGACGCTAGGGGTATGAGGTTAATGATGCCAGTCAGGAGGGATATATATTTTTCTTTCACCATATTTAGCTGCGTAGGTACAGACAAGGTATAGGTAGGTTTCAGCCATACTCAGCCACTGAATGCCATGAAGTGCAGCAGGGTCAAAGAAATAATTATGTGAAAAGAATGACGAACACTGGAAGATCAGTAGGATTGATTCAGGTCTAGCAGAGTTCAGGGATCACTGGCTTTAGGGTACTAGGAGTGAAAAGAAAAGAAGAGAGGGAGTACAACTGAGATCCGAGAGTTGTAATTATTGGTACTGATAAGGTGTAAGATGTGGGCATGGGTGTGGCTGAGGTAGGCTAAAGGACGAGAGCATCAGAGAAGAAATCAGGAATCGTAACAAGCTTCTTTATAACTGTTGAAATCACCATGAATTATGAATAATGTTAGAGATGATAACGGTGTTTGGTAGATATTTGAAGCCAGGAAAGGTAGATAGGAGCTTAAAAACCCAGGAGTTACAAAGGAGGGAAACAGAGGCCTCAAGAGGTAATTAGGAGCCAAAAGAACACTGGTCTCCAGAGCCGTTGGAAGGTATGGGGGAGGAAAAGCTGCCACTGGAGAGTGCTGCGGAAGAATTACATTCCTCAAGGGAGAGCCGGGCCTCAATAAGGAGGATGTTTGAGAAGGAGGGAGAGCAGGTATGAAAACATTAAGGCTAGAAAGGAGAATGTGCAGAGTCGCATGGGTGTTAGAATGGAGAAGCTGAGGAAATGATTGGGAGTGATGGGTTGCTTATAATCACAAACATAAATGAAGGTAGAGTGTAATAAGATTTATCCTAAAGTAGAAGAAGGTTATTGAGTATTTGGTTGAGTACTTGTTTTTATGGCATTCCCTATTAATTCATTCTCATGGATGTATTGAGGCTCACAGTAGTTTTATGATCTTGAAATTAATGGATATCTCAGGGATAATCTCTTAGAATGAAATTTTTTGGAGAAATGTCTTGTAGAGAAGAATGAATTTTAACAGACAGGGAAATGGGCACACTCATGTACTGACGGTTCAAGTGTCAGTTCATATCCTTTTTTGATGGCAAAAACTTTTTAAAAAGATTTTATTTATTTACTTTTAGAGAGAGAGAACAAGGGAGGGAGAAAGAGAGGGAGAGAAACATCGATTGGTTGCCTCTTGCAGTCACCCTGACCTGGAACCAAACTCACAACCTAAGCATGTGCCCTGACTGGGAATCAAACCAGCGAGCACCCTTTCACTTTGTGGAGCATCGCCTGACCCACTGAGCCACACCAGTCAGGGGAAGATGGCAGAAACTTTAAATAACTCAGCAGAAATTCCAGGTGAACTTGGGTTTGGTGATGTTTTTAGATGGGACATCAGAAGTACAATTCATGAAAGAATAAATTCGTCTTTGTTAAAGTTAAAATCTCTGAGAAAGATACTATTAAGAGAATAAAAAAACAAGTCACAGGCTGAAAGAAAATGTTTGCAAAACATCTGTTTGATATGGGATTGTTATCCAGACATACAAAGAATTCTCAAAATTCAACAACAAAGAAACAAACAACTCAGTTTTAAAATAGAGAAAAGATTTTGACAAAATATGAAGTGGAGATTAATTTACATTGTACACATAATAATTAGACTGAATAAAAGGGTCACAGGTAAAAATTTTTTTAATGGGCAAAAGATCTGCATACAGCTCACCAGAGAAAATACACAGATACCAGGTAAGCATAGGAAAAGATGGTCAGCATTGTGTTGTTGGAGAACTGCTAAATTAAAAGATCAAAGAGAGCCCTGCCTGGTGTGGCTCTGGGTTGGGTCATTCAGCAAAGCAAAAAGTCACCAGTTGGACTCCCCGTCAGGGCACATGCCTGGGCTGCAGGCCAGGGCCCCAGTTGAGGGGGTGCAGAGAGGCCACTGACCCATGTTTCTCTTCCACATCAGTGTTTCTCTCCCTCTCTTTTCTCCCTTCTTTCCCCCTCTCTAAAAATAAATGAAATATTTTTAAAAGATTTTATTTATGTATATTTTTAGACAGAGGGAAAGGGAGGGAGAAAGAGAGACAGAAACATCAATGTGTGGTTGCCTCTCACGTGGCCCCACTGGGGACCTGCCCTGCAACCCAGGCATGTGCCCTGACTGGGAATAGAACTGGCAACCCTTTGGTTCACAGCCTGCGCTCAATCCACTGAGCTACACCAGCCAGGGCTAAATGAACTCTTTTAAAAAGTAAAACAACAAAGAGATACTATTACACACCTATTAGAATGGCCTAAAATCCAAAAACCTGATAATACCAAATGCTAGTAAGTACCAAGGACTACAGGACTCTCATTCATTGCTGGTGGAAATACAAAATGGTAGATAGAGGTCACTTTGGAACACAATTTGACGGTTTCCTAAAAGATTAAACATGCTCTTAATATATGACCCCAAATCATGCCCCTTATTATTTATCCAAATGAGTTGACAACTTAGATCCATACCAAAAAATTACGCACAACCTGGCTGGTGTAGTTCAGTGGATTGAGCACGGGCTATGAACCAAAGGGTCGCTGGTTCAATTCCCAGTCAGGGCACATCCTCAGTTGCTGTGGGCCAGGTCCCCAGTGTGGGGTGCATGAGAGGCAACCACACATTGATATTTTTCTCCCTTTAATAAAAAAAAATGCACAAATATTTATGTCTTTATTCATAATTACTCAAACCTGGAAACAACCAATTTGTGAAATATATAAATATACTGTATAAAAACTGAGTATATAGACAGTGGTACATCCATACAATGGAATGTTGTTCCATAACATTAAAAAGATAAAAAGAAATGAGCTATCAAACCACAAAAAGAGTTAGAAAAACCTTACATGCATATTGCTTAGTGAAAGAATCCAGTTTCAAAAGGCTACATATACTGTATGGTTCCAACTATAGAGTGAAAAAGATCAGTGGTTTCCAGGGGCTTAAGAGTATGGGGGTGATGAATGAGGGGAGCATGGGATTTTTAGGGCAGGGAAGTTATTCTTTGTGATACTGAAATGGTGGTTACATGACAGTCTGCATTTGTTAAAACCCATAAAACTGAACAGTACAAAGAGTGAGCCCTAATGTATGCTAATGTAAGATACTGAGGGGGTGGGGTGAGATATGGGAATGCTGTTATCTACTCAGTTTTATAAATCTAGGACTTCTGAAAAGAGTTTGTTTTTAAAAATTTCATTTTTAGAAATTTAAAGAAAATAATCAGAAGAGTACATAGTGAATACAAGGATTTTCCAAAGGTGATTGATTAAATTATAAAACATTCATATAATTAAAGACACTAGTCAATTCAACCATTAAAATAATTTTCTATCTCTAATCAGTTGTTAGTAATGATGAAGCTAGGGATATAGCTAGTTTTGGTTTTGGGGTTTTTCCTTTAAACTTTCTTTAAGAGGAGTTTTCAGTTCACAGCAGACTTGAGGGGAAGGCACAGATTTCCTGTATACCCACCTCCCGTGGCACACACACAGTCTCACTGTCGGCATCCCTCACCGGAGCTTCCGTGTCTTAACAGTCAGTGAACCTGCACTGACACATCATCATCCCTCTTGGGGTAGTGTACATTGTGTGGGTTTGGACAAATGTATAATGAATAACGTATGTCCCTCGTTATAGTATACAGTGCATTCACTGTCCCAAAATCCTCTGTCCTCTGCCTCTTCATCTCTAGCTACATAGATATAACTAGTTTTTTTTTAAGTTTTAATAAATTACGTTATTATATGTAACTTAATTTATAAGTGTGGTGTGTCTTGAAAAAAGCTTGAGAAAGGTAAAAGGGATGCTATTATATGTTAATGGTGAGATTGTGGTCATTTTCTTTATTTCTTTACATATTACAGTTCTTTTATCATTATGTATTACATACAACCTCTACCTTCCACCCCCGCCTACACCCACCAAAAATAAGATGAAGCTAATTTTTGAGAAAGAAGTTAGGGAAATGTAAGGTCTAAAACAAAGGAAAAAACATCTACTCCAGATGAGTAGAAAGAATCCTGGCCTCATGTTAGTGTTCTTGGTGACTGTCTTTACTGAAATGAAATGAGTGTTACAAAGCACTTTCTGTGCTGAGCTGCTACCTGAAGTGCGTAACAGATGTTCTTTTTTAAAGGCTTTGTACCTGATAGCAACTAATGGAACTCCAGAACTTCAGAATCCAGAGAAACTTTCGCCAATATTTCGGGATTTCTTAAATCGATGTTTGGAGATGGATGTGGAGAAAAGGGGTTCGGCCAAAGAATTGTTACAGGTGAATTTGGAAATTATATTATCTTTGGAAAAAGTTGACTTTTTCGAGTAATCAGCAGAAAGTTTACGTAGGTTTTGTCAGTTACATTTCAGTGCTCATTCATCAGCAGAAGCATGACAGTTGCCACAGTTTAGGAGTATGTGAATTTTTGCATATTATCAATTCTCAGAGCAGTTCATTGCTGGCATGGGTTATCTGGGTCATTTAACTGACATTTTATAAAGAAAGTGATGTATTGGTTATGCTGATTTTATGCAAGTATTGAAATATGTGTTTATTAAATAAACCATGGCCCTTTAAAATCTTTGGGGCTTTAATTGAAAGGAAGTATTTAGCTTCTAAATTGGTGACATTTATAAATTTATTTTTCTTTCCTCTTTCTGGCAGCATCCTTTCCTGAAACTGGCCAAACCATTATCTAGCTTGACACCACTGATTATGGCAGCTAAAGAAGCAATGAAGAGTAATCGTTAACATTGTTGCCATGGCCTCATGTTCCTTTTCCATTTTCTAAAAGAAGTATTTTAATATATGAAAATTATTACTCTTTTGGGTTTTAAGGAAATGGCCTGCACAATGTGGAGGAAAAAAAATAACTACTTCCTGAAGACAACCAAGAAAAAATTGCAAAACAGAATGACAACCTTCTATTGAATCCCTTCTTTAGGGTCCAAAAGGAATTGTGGAATGAATCACTAGCCTTCTTTCAGCAGACAGCCCATCAGGGCCATTTATCATGCTTGAGATTTGCATTTTATTTTGCTGACTTCATTGTAATAGATTCCATTCATTGTCCCTTTTGGGGTATTTTCAGTACTTGAATGGTAGATTTGAGTTGTTCAGTTATTTGTCTCATCTGCTGGTCTTCTTTTCTCTCTTTGTAGCTTTCTTTTTTCTTGAATTGCTCTTTTTGAGTTGCTTTGAGAAATTTTTCTTAGGCCTAAATTTGAGGCAAGTTTGATAGAAATTATGTAACTCCTTATATTGGCAAAGGAGATTAATATGATTTAATTTTGTATAGAATTTAGAACCCGCTGTTGTAATATTTCAGTTCAGAATTTGAACTGGGGGAAGGGAAGAAAAGTATGTGATTTTTACCTTTTTTAACAAATGTGAAAAAGTCAGTTTTAGAAATATCATGTTAGTGAAGTGCTTGGCATTTGTTACATGTATAAAGAGAAGACTAATAATCTATATTTATAACTAAATCATTGAGACAGAAAAAGAATCCCATTGATTGTACATCTTTATGATTTTGTTTTCAACTGTTTCCTCTTCAGATTTGGCTTTAGGATTTGCTCTTCCAACTTTTGTTAGTGCCCCTACCTTCCTCTTCCCCTTTTTTCCCCATCATTTTGGAAATGTTTCTGTATATGTTGTAATTTTAGTTTGTTTTTTAATTAACCCTCTCTCACCCTACTCCCGACCACCACCATAGTAAAATAATATAATAACCATTGAATTTTCAGAATTAACTCTTTTTCCATTTAAAGGAGAAAATATTTGGAGCTAGTAGAGGCAAAGTGGAAAAGACTTGAACCTTGTCGAGCTGTCAGATAAGTAGATGAGATTGTATTCATGAAAGAGACTTGTCAGTTACGTGGAGATGCAGCTGCTGACCAGTAAACTCTAGAGATTCATTAAAAACATCGTACCTAAACCATTACCAACGTTTCACTGTCTGAAAACTGATAGTAGTTCTTGATAAATTCATGGATCATTTGAGATGTTGAGTTACTTTATATTTTTTTCAAATAAGTAAATAATGTTTAGGTATAAAACTGGAGAAAGGAAGAAAAATGAAATGTCCTTATTGATAGCAATATTTTTTTTATTTTAAAGATTTTAAAAGGTCTGTGACCTGTAGCATTATTAGAGTCTCCCTCCCCCACCTACACCCCCACTTCTGGTCTCTTCTTCCTCTCCTTTTCCTCTCTCCTTATTTCTTTATTGTTTTGTATTTGGATGCAGTATTGTCCTTTCTGACATGCCAAGAGCCACATAAAAGAGAAAAATCTGTGGTTTGGTTTTGGAACATGGGAATGTTCCCACCATTCTCCTATTAATTTCGTGCCTGCTTGCCATCCTGTAATAGTACAGATCATGAATAAAAACATTTGTGATGTTTTGGAGTACATTGGGGGGGGGATAATACAGTTTTATTTCCTATCATTCCAGTCATCTGTGTATAAGATACAGGTATAAGAATAGAAATGGCTGGTTTTTTATTGATAATGCAGGAAGTTTTTCACAGAAATGAGTAAAAGAGTTAAACTTTTATCTAGAGCACTTAATTGTCTCTTTTTTTGATTCTTGATTTCATGTTTCTCTGGATTATATTGGCCTCTATAGCTATTACTGAATTATAGGAACAAGCTGGTTTATTTCTGGTGGAAAGCCACATTGCCTCTTTGAATTCCAGATTTGAACATTCTTTGTAAATAGTTTTCTGGATTAATTACGGTGAAGAAGATGCTACCGGTGAAAACCAACTAGATGATGAGACTGATGATCATGACCACTGTAGCTGGCACCTCGTGTGCAGTCATAGAGACCATATTCATCGAACTCAGTGCTAATGCCCCATTTGTATTTCTACAACTCAACAAAGGTCTTTTTGGTTTATAGAAGCAGTTTGGGGTTTGTATTTACAACTTTGGATGGTTACCTGCATGTCCATTGCTGGCAACGGACTTTGTCATTAAAACCTGACTCCTAGGTTAAGGGAACTACACTGTGGTTTATTCTTTACTTAATTGGATAAACTAACTTGTAATAGAAATATACTTTGGTTCTAAAATGTGTCATTTTTAAACAGAATAACCTTAAAAGCAGTACAGAATTGTGATATATTAGTTAATTTTAAATTAAAATGCTTAGATCTTGTTGAAAGAAAAATTTATATCTGAATCAAGATTCACATTTTCTAAATAACTGCTTTTTGTATTTGCCCTTTTTGTCATCACTTTACAATGAAAATTCCCACTGAAATCTAAAAGTTACCTTAGTCCTCTTATATTATTAGGACAGTATTACTATAGTACTTAATTTATTATATTTTAGACTCTAGCAGTCTTAAATTTTCCTTCTCCTTTTTTGTTCCTTTTGCTGCTGTTAGGGACAGTTAAAACCGGGAAACCATGAAAATATTGAATATTTTATCCTACCTGGAATTGTAAAGAAGTAGAGTGATTGTGTTAGCGTCAGAAACTAAGGCTAACACAACTCTCTCTTCATGTGTTGAAAGCCTGGCACATAATTCTCTTCCCTTTCACTTATAAATATTAAGCTGCTTATCTAGTTACCACCAGCCCTAAATGAACCTGTGCCTTTAATAAGCAACTTGAAACTACCTATGAGTATTTCTTTAAGGGCTATCTCACATAAATATGTTTAAATATACTGTATTGTAGCCAGGATAAGTCTAGATCTGATCAAGCAGTAGCTATCGTTAGAAATAAAAAATGAGTACTTAAAATATTTGCATCAGTTTTTTTATCTAAAATATTTTAAATATACTGAGGTCCATATCTAGTGAAATGTCAAAAAATCAATTCTAAAATATAGCCAAAATCCAGATTAGTGCTCATTTTGGTTTTGTTTTTATTATAGTGGATTTCATAGTAATACAAAAAAAGATTGTCTTCATTACTTCCACACCAGATATTTAAACAATCCAAATCCGTTTTTTCACAGTATATGTATATGCATGTGTATAAGAAAGGAAAAATATACACAGACAAATACATTTTTTTCTCAGCATGTTTGTTGACCACTTCGGCAAAGACACTGTGGGTAGGTATAGTGGGGATTACAAAAGAGAATCCAACACTGACCTGACCTTAGCAGAACTGAGTCTTTCCCACTCAACCATTCTAGAATGTCACCACATGAGAGGGAGAAAGAAAATGTGGCAAGCAGATTTTCATTCTGTATTAAGAAAAGCAGAGAATTATATTTGGAATTTAACATTTTTAGTAGGGATGTGTTTTATTTTGGGTTTTTTTTTTCTTTTTTGATGTTGATAGATAGAAATGTAATTAAATGAAAGCAGCTTTTGTCTTCAAATTTTATATTGACTTATTTTTAATTTAATCCCTTTTAATTATTTAATTGTTACATTGACATTAACTGCTGTATTTGATGACTTTGTTCAATAACTTTGTTCTTTCAGGGCTAGAAATAAACTTTTTTATGTTCATTTTTCCCTTTCCTAAACTTCTTTAAGTTAGAATACCTTAAAAGAGTAAGTAATAAATTTTCAGAAAGCACTCTAGTATTTTTAAGGATATGTTTTTAAACATCTCATGGCACTATTTTGAATGTATTACAAAGCCCAAATTAGAAAGGTATCCAGAAATTTAGGGGTGGTAGGCATGAGTCTTACTCCTTCCAAACCAGGTTCTGAGTAAACTTCTTAGAAATGTTCTGGCTGTCAGACGAAGGAACACACTTCTGACTTTTGATACCTCCAGTAATTTGGCCTGAAATTCTAATGCTTACCTGGCTGAAATAATAAGCACCTTACTAGCATTTCTGTGTTAAATGCACCTAGAAAACTTTAGAAGTGCAATACTTTAAGGCATCACTTCATTATACACATTTAAGTTCCAGTGTTGAATACCCTGACAGCGAACAGTTGCAGTGTATAGTTTCACTATAAAAAAAAAACAAAATTACACTTTTTTTTTAGTATGGAGTTAGGGGCATCAGCAAATGACTATGTAAAGTGCATTTGTTGTGAAGCTGTTTAGTGCTATTATATTTGTATTTTTAGAATTATAGCAAATACTTAAAATATTTGCCTAAGAAGTTACAAAAATGCCTGTAAAAGATTGATTTTGTAAAGCACCATCTGTATGAACTTAAAGCATACTTTACTACTACTTTGATATTTGTGGCATTTTAAATGAAGAAATTACTTTTTATGCTGAATCATTGAACAAGTTTTATGTCTTAAAGAGTAGAAGAAGCAGAGCAATGAAGGGAAAAGACCTTTTTAGGTCTAGTTATTTTAGGTTTTTAACCAAGTAATGTACATAGATTAAAAACTAATACTAATCTTAAAGTACTTGTAATGAATAGTGTACTATCCCAGCTTTAAACTTCCCCACTGCCAAATCCTGCTCCATAAAAGCATGTTTTTAATTCTGAGCGGTTTCTAGCATGCATTGATCTTCAGCTTTCTAAATTCTGTATTTATACAGGTATTTCTTGATGTTTCTAAATTTTGTTTTAGTAACTTCCCATTTATGACAGTTAGGAATTTGGGTGCTGTCATTACCCTCCCATTCTCCCATATCTAGATCCCTGCAGTCTCCCAGTTAGGAGAGATGGCAGTTTTTTAATTCAATTCGTAGACAGTTTTTACCTCATGACTATGTGGGAGTATTGTTCATTTGAGTCAAGTTATGGTTATATGTCATTTCTCTTAGAATTCTTTGCTTTTCCTGTTATTAATTTTCTTTTTGTTTCCTTTGAAAATTTCTGTGTTCCTATCACTGAGTTTTCTCAAAATCACCACAAAATTTCAAAAGCCCTCTGAAAACTTACTATGAAGCTCCTTTCCTAGAACTTGCCTGGGGCTGTGGTCTGGATTGGTGGGTGCTTTGCATGCCTTCTGCCCCTCGGCATCTCAGACTCCACTTTTCTCCTGAGTTAAGTTCCAGTCTTTGTTTGCCAAACACCATATCTAATTTCTTGTGTATTCCTTCGTTTTAGAGAAGAACATTTTTTACTAGCTTTCTGAGAAAAGGTTCATAGAGGTAAGATTTCCAAAAACTTGCATGTCTGAAAATAGCTTATACTGAAACTGATACACTGTAGGATTTCTGGTTGGAAATCATTTTCCTTGAGAATTTTGATGCCACTGCTTCATTGTTTTTTAATCTGCCATTTCTGATAACACCTTCATGCGTAACCATTTTTCTGCTTCAGGAGATTTTCTTCTGAAATTTTACCATGGAATGAATGCCTTGGTGAAGAAGGTGTGTGTTTTAATTAGCTTTGGGCAGTTGGCAGGCTCTCTTGGTCAGACTCATTTCCTTCATTTCTGGGGAATTCTTGAGTTATTTCTATAATAATTGCCACATTCCACCACCACCCGCCCTCCGTCTTTTTGCTCTGGAATTCCAGCACTGATCTTCCATTTTTCTTTTTCTCCTGATTTCCATCTCTTTACCTTTCGTTTTTAACTTTCTGAGAGAATTTCTTTGATTTGACCTCTGATCTTTTTCTTTTACCAGACCCATTTTTTAACATAATGTGAAGTAATCACATTTTAAAAAAGATTTTATAGAGTGGAAGAGAGGCAGAAAGAGAAGAAGAGAAACATTGATGTGTGAGAGATACATCGGTCAGATAGATGCCTTGCACACCCCCAACTGGGGACCTGGTCTACAACCCAGGCACATGTCCTGACTGGGAATCGAACTGGTAGCCTTTTGGTTTGCAGATTGGCACTCAGTCCACTGAAACACACCACCAGCCAGGGCTCGAGTATCACATTTTTAATTTCCAAAAGTTCATTCTTGTTCTCTGGTCTCCCTTCTTGTAGCCTTCTGTTCTTATTCCATAAGTTCAGTATCTTTCCTGAGGTATTTTAAGAGTTTTTTCCTGGTCAGTTCAAGCCAAATGGTTTAAATAAAATAAATGTATTTCTCAAAGTTCTGGAGTTGTAGAAGTCCAAGATCAAAATGCCGACGAGGTAGGCTTCATTCTGCCACCATCTTGCTGTGTGCTTACCGGACGCCTTCTTTGTATCCCTGCATAGTGAGAAAGCGGTGTCTGGTGTCTCACAAGGACACCAGCCCATCGTGAAGCCCCGCCCTCATGACCTCATCTAACCCTCATTACCATCCAAAGGCCTCGTCTTCAATTTTCTTTTTTTCTTTTTAAAGATTTTATTTATTTTTAAGCAGAGTGGACAGGAGGGAGAAAGGGACAGAAACATCAAATGTGTGGTTGCCTCTTGCACTCCCCACACTGGGGAACCCGGCCTGCAACTTGGGCTTGTGCCCTGACTGGGAATCAAACCAGTAATCCTCTGCTTCGCAGTCCGGCGCTTAACTTAGTTCACTGAGCCACACCAGCCAGGGCTTCAATTTACAATACAGTGGGGATTAGGACTTCAACCTATAAATTTGGAGAGGTGCAAACATTGAAGCCATAATAGGTCTTTTTTTCAAGAGGGTTTTTTCCAGTCTCAAACTATTTTTCCTGGGTTCTTACTTGTTTTTAACTCACATAAAGGTTTTTTTTGACAGATGTCTGATGAATATTGATATAGATTAATGCTGTTCTGGAACAACACTACTGTAACAGTCTGGCACTGTATTAAACAAATGCTAACTCATTTACATATTAATTTTCTCAGATCTCAGCTGGATTCTTGGTGCTATTTACCAGTCACTCATTTTGCTCCTAGGACATTTTTTCCTCTCCTTCTTCCTGCAGGCTCTCTCTGATGACTCCTACCTCTTTTATTCTACCATCTCAACACTTTGTAATACCCTAGTGCCAGAATTTTCTGGGTTTGTTTCTCTGCCTTCTTCCTTTGTCTCATTGGAAGATGATGTTCATCTCAGCAGTGAACCCCACCAAAGATCTGCCTTCCACCACTTCCCATGTCCTCAGACTACTCACTTACCCAGGCTCATCTGTCCCTCAGCAAAAACATGTTTACATGTTTTCCTTTTAGACTAACTTCCTTTCACTTAACTTCCAGAGAGAGGAGATCAGAGTTACTGTTTTTCTATTAGTATATTGTATCTGTCCTCAACATG